TGCATCACTTGTTACGACTAGCAGTGACAAATATGGAACCGGACATTGACCATCTCATTAGCCAAAAGCAGGCCCATAGTTCCCATTGAAATACTGGTAAATTTGTTGATTTAACTTTACTTGTTCTTCATTTTAAATATTGTATTTGTTCCCGTTTTGTTTTTTTTTACTTCAAAATAAGATATGTGCAGTGTGCATAGGAATTTGTTCATAGGCTTTTTTTAAACTATAGTCCGGCCCTCCAACGGTCTGAGGGACAGTGAACTGGCCCCCTGTTTAAAAAGTTTGAGGACCCCTGTTCCAGACCTTCCCCTATTACCGAAATGGAGGTATGGACAAGATATTCACATTAGCCCCATAACTCTGGAACTGTGGAGGTTCCAGAGGAAAACACCTGGGGGGGGCATCGATCTCAGTGCTCATCACTCAAGCATCATCCCCAGATGAATTCTCAGCACCCTCAAAGACTCAAGAGCGTTCCTTTGATCTGGGCAGAGATGGGAAAGAAGCGCGTTGAGAAGAAGGGGGAGAACCTGAATGGAAACCAGAGGCGAGAAGTAGGTCAGCTCTCTTGGGCAGCCCATCTGAGACCAAGAAAACTGAATCCAGCTTCTATGGATTTATGCCTCGCATTTCGGGGGGGGGGGGGGCCCAAAAAAAAAAAAAAAAAAAAAGGGGGGGGTCCGTTTTCTTGTGTTTTTTGCCCCCGCTTTGGGGGGGGGGGGGGGACCAGAAGAAAAGAAAGAAGAGATTGTCAATGTATTTAGGTCGCAGCAGCATTACGGAGGGGGAGGGACGGCGGCATGGTGAAGGCCGATTTTGTCAGCAGCTAAGCAGGGCCTGCATATTTGTGAGAGACCGCCTCTCCTTCTACGAGCCCAGAAGGGCTTTACGATCTGCCAACCAACTTCTTCTGGCCCCAGGGACGTCCGCCTTGCCTCGCCGAGCCATGTCCCCTACCTGGTGGAATGAACTGCCTTATGAGATCAGGGCCCTGAGAGACCTTTCACAGTTCCGCAGGGCCTGCAAGACAGAGCTCTTCCACCGGGCTTTTAGTTGAGGCAGTGGGTGTCCCTCCTCCTTATCGGGCCTCCCCCTCAGTGGGTCAGGTCTGTATTACCATCCAGGAACCCAAATGCAAAATAGACTGCATCTGTCGAAGCTCTGACCGGAAACTTTATCGTAGGAACGTTAACTGTATTTTATTAAGGTTTTTAAATTGTTTTTAATTCTTTGTATATTGTATATTGTTTACTGTATCTAATGGGACCCACCCTGAGCCTGCTATGCAGAAGAAGAGAGAAGAAGAGATTGGATTTATACCCCGCCCTTCACTTGGGAGTCTCAGAGTGGCTTACAAACTCCTTTCCCTTGGAAAGACACTCAAACACGTTCTTTGTTAGAACTGACTACAAACCATAAGGGCAAGCATAATAAAGGGATTTGAAACAGATACAGAACCAATGGGTCACATTCCCGCTGGCGGGCGAGGGGAAACGGTTGCGCGCCCTTTCCCTGGGAACTCAGTTATCTCCAGACATATACAGGTGCAGTTCTCAGGCTCTAAAAGCAACAAGCCAGCAATGAAGCGAACTCCCACAAGACGACCTCCAGTTGTTTGGCTTATGCATTACAGCAGAATACAATAACAGCTCACAGGCAGGGAAGGAGGGGGATGGGGAGGAACAACTGTACCGAAGTACCAGCAACACAGAACACCATGGCAGCTTGCTGACACCTGGGAAGCCCCTTGCTGGACTCACCATACGTTGGCTGTGACTTGACGGCCCTTTACACACACATAACATTGAGAGATTCTTTAGTAGCACAAAGTGTGGTGAGAACCAATGTTCCCTCTAAGCCGTGGAGTCTTGTGAGCAAAAATTCTACTTTGTGAGCTACTGGCATTAAAGTTGTGAGTGATCTATTTGGCTACTGCATGAATTAGTCTGCTCTGGAGCCCTCCTTTCTGAGCGAGGACAAAAATGTGTGAGCCGGTGGCTAAAGAGCTGTGAGCTAGCTCACACTAACCCTGCCTAGAGGGAACACTGCATACATTCCAACCCGAGCCCTGCGTGTTTGGTGAGCGGAGGATGCACATCTTCACCACCTATGTCCTGTCCCTTTAATAGAAGCTTAATGTGTGGGAACCAACAGCTGAAGCTTTTCACAGCATGGAGGTAAAGAATATCACCTAGTAAACAACATCCTGTTAAACCTCTATTAAAGGGACTGGATATTTTTCTCCAGGCCAGTTGGCAACTGTGGATAGGAAGCTGCCCTTGCACCATTTTTTTAAAGAAGAAGAAAAAATGAGGTAAAAGTATTTTGAATCAGTTTAAAATAAAAAGCTCCTAAAACCCTTGGCCGTTTTATTTCTGGGACCGAAGCTCCTCTGTGCAAAACCATGCGTTAAGAGCCACAAATGCCTTCAACTTTCTAATTTTTTTTTTTTCCTGTGCCCCATAAGGCCTAGAAACTTGGCCTTGCTTTTTACAATTAAAGTCGGATTTCTGAGTTTCTGTACTGGAAGCTAAGTCATAGAATCACAGAGTAGACTGAGGCATATTCCCTGTCTCTGAAATACAGTGGAAATTAATCAGCCAGAGAGCGGCCCCAGCTATATTTAGTTTGACATTCACAAGTCATTGTCTTTACCACCACTGGACTGGGGGGGGAACGCGGGGGAACGCAGTGCCCCCGGGTGAGGTGCAGGGGGGCGGGGCACATGACGAAGAGGGAGGATAAGTCGCTTCCTCCCCGCCTCTCCCCACCCCTGCCTGCCTGGGGCCAGGGAGGGCCTTGGTGGGGCTTCCTCGCACTCCCGGTGGCCTTGCAGGTCCACTGCTGGGCCCCTGATGTCAGGGGGTGTGGCATATGCTAATGAGTTATGCTAATGAGTCCCCCTAGCTCTTTTTCTACGAAATGACCCCTGGTCTTTACCACCACTGGACTGACACACACAGAGAGAGACAGAGAGACGAGAAATGCTGCATGGGATTTGTCTGGGAACCTCGCTGTTAGCAGCCACGCATTGTCCCAGCACAACTTACATTGCAGAAAAGGCTGAAACCACAACAGAGAGATAAGCAAGCAAAACAGGGCAAGGAGGGTAGCGAAAGCTCCTTTCTCTCCAGTAGCTGCCTACTCACGTAGTAATCAGACATCTTCAGACACTTGTCCTGAACGGGCAGTTGTCAGACAGAGCTTTAGGGAGAAGTCAGGAGGCAGTTATTTTTAATGACTACGGACAGCTGGAAGGACCTGCAGATTGGCAGGGATCCCAGCCGCCTTTGCGCTGCTGCAAGAGCCCGGCCCAGCAGGGTCAGAATGAGACGGCGGAGAGAATCCCAGCAGGACTGAGTGAAGCAAGAGTCGGAGAAGAATGTGGTGGGTTTCTAGATTTAATGTGGCAATGTTTAGCCCAAAAAAAGATGGGAACTGGAGCAAATGTCAAACTGGTGTCGTGACAAGAAGAGAGCAGGGAGGACGTGCGCCATCTTTTACATTACCGTGATTATCTCTAGTTGCTTTGGAGAAAAATCCAATCACATTTAGACTAGTCGCATTGTGATGGTGCTGTTTCCCGTGAGTATTGTGTCTTGCTGTTATTAGAACCGTTAGATTCGAGTTCAGCAGCACTTTAGAGAGCAACAAGAGTTTCAGATATGGACTTTCGAGAGACAAAGAGTCCCTTCATTGGACATGAGCACGAAGGCGGATCGCTGGGTCTTTTCATTCCAATAAGTAAACCATAAAAATATAAAGACTTAGAGATCTCCCTTCCTGCTTGTATCTGGCAAAGGGAGCTCTCACTCTTGAAAGTTCATACCCCGAAAATCTTCCAGATATTTCCCAAATGCATTCAGATCTTCACTTCGCATGCATTTTGGAAATATTTAGATGTTTCATGGGAGATACTGATAGATTGTTGTTTAATTTAGAAAAATTACATCAAATACTGAATTTGCAACATGTTTTTCTTTCCTGGAAGGTAAACTGTAGCTTTCACAGCTGCCTGGCTAAGCTTGCCAACTGGCAGGCGGGGGAGTCCTATCCCTTTAAAAGGAAATAGATCAAGATGGGTAGCCGTTAAAATGAACATTCCATGGTACGAATATGTTCAAATGCATCACCTTTTTTCTTCTGGCACACTAACTAAGGAACTAAAACGCCCGTTAGAACCGTTTGAGAAACTTCTATTAAACGAAGGGGAGGTCAAGCGAGGTATGATCTCAATAGTATATAAACTGTTATTAGACTATGATATGCTTAATGTACCTTCTTATACAATACCTTGGCAATCTGACTGTAGACTTCAATGGTCAAAATCGGATTGGGAAACGATATGGTCTTCCTATGTCTTTAAAACTAGATCACTCAATATACAGGAACAAAACATTAAACTGTTAACAAGATGGTACATGACTCCAAGAAAGTTAAATTGCATGAACAAGACTATCCCACCCCTTTGTTGGAAAAAGTGTGGATCATTGGGTATTTATTTCCACTGTTGGTGGGAGTGTAAGGTGATTTCTCAATTCTGGCAGGATATTTCAATACAAATAGAATACTTAACAGGTTACAAAATACCATTATTACCCGAAGTTATTTTACTGAACTACTGGCAAACTATTAAAATGCCTCAAATCAAGATAGAATTAATATCGATTCTTTTATCTGCTGCTAAAACTACTATTGCTGCTTGTTGGAAGTCTGTAGAGAAACCATCAATAAAACACTGGTATTTTAGGATATGGGATCATTTGATCCTGGACAAAATCTCAGACTCCATAGCATGCAGCGACCCATTATTGGGTCCTTCCTTTTATTTAGAAAGATGGTACCCTATTTTAACAAACTTGGAAAAGATATTAGGGAATAAAGTATTTCCACTTCTTGCGGACCAGTTGGTTGCTTTAAACTTGACCACAAGAGTTTCTATTTTTTACTAAGAATAAGGCCCGTTGTGGAAATAAATACAACGAGATCTAGAAAGAGGCTCTGGGAGAGTGCTCTGGCTTTGGGCAAACAGTGTCAATTTGCTGTGGCGACCTCAGCAGGGTATAATGACAGAGTCCACTATTTTCTCCAGAGGAACTGATCTCTGCTACCTGAAGAGCAGTTGTAATTTTGAGCGATCTCTAGCCCTCACCTGGAGATTGGCAACAATTGTTACCCAGGACGAAATGGCTGGTCTGGAGGGTGGAGTCTATGGCATTCTACCTGTCTGAGGTCCCACCCCTCCGCAAACCCCACCCTTTCCAGGCTCCACCCCTCAAATCCCCAGGAATTTGCCAGCCTGGAGTTGGCAACCCCATCTCCTTCCCAGATAACCATCAACCTACCATTATCTGCCCCTTTGACTTCAGCTGACTTCTGCCCTCCCTTCTACAGAGCAGTTGTAATTCTGAGTGGTCTCCAGCCCTCACCTGGAGATTGGCAACAATGGTTCCCCATGAGGGATTGACTGGTTTGGAGGGT